ACTATAAGCATTCAAGGAAACTAAGATGCTCCTTCAACAATTTTCTTAGAAATCTCTTTAGCTATGTATTCTATTTCACTGCTCCCAAATTTTACATTCTGTAAAACACTAGAACATAAATACAATTTAGCCAAGTACTTTTCTACTTTATAACAAGGATACCCTTTTCTCAAGTTTCTAATAACATGTTCCCCGTTTCCATCTGGAAGTTCACTAGAATGGCATTTACTGTCCATATTTCTATCAACATTCTGTTCCATGTTACCACATTATTTAGATATTCTTTTTTTTTTTTTTTTTTTTGAGTCGGAATTTCACCCTTGCTGCCCAGGCTGCAGTGCAATGGCATGATCTCGGCTCACTGCAACTTCCTCCTCCTGGGTTCAAGTGATTCTCCTGCCTTAGCCTCCCGAGTAGCTGGGATTACAGGCATGCGCCACTATGCCAGGCTAATTTTGTATTTTTAGTAGAGACAGGGTTTCTCCATTTTGATCAGGCTGGTCTCGAACTCTTGACCTCAGATGATCCACCTGCCTCGGCCTTCTAATTTGCTAGGGTTACAGGCTTGAGCCACCACTCCTGGCTATTATTTAGATATTCTTCAAGAAGATTAAGCATTTCTCGATTGTTCTCTTTTCTTTCTGTGACCTCACCAGAATCATCCTCAATGATCTATTCACAGCAATGCAGACTTTTTCTAGCATGCACCTTAAAACTCCCTCAGCCTTTATCTATTATTACCCAGTTCCAAAGCCACTTCCACATTTTTAGATATTTGTTATAGTAGCAAACCACTTCTGGTATTAATCTTAGTTTGTGCTGCTATAACAAATTATGGTTTACTAGGTGGCTTATAAACAGCAGAAATTTATTTCTCACAGTGCTGAAGCCTGGGAAGTCTAACATCAAGCAAGGCATGGCAGATTTAGTGTCTGGTGAGGGTCAGTTTCCTGGTTCATAGATGGCCATTGTTCTGCTGTGTCTTCACATGATCAAAAGGCAAGAGAACCCTCTCATGTCTCTTACAAGGGCACCATCTCATTCATAAGAGCTCTACCTCTGTGAAATAATCACCTCCCAATGGCTCCATTCCTATTAGTATCACCTTGAGCAGGGTCCCTCAACCCCCAGTCTGCAAACCAGTACTGGTCCATGGTCTGTTAGGGACCAGGCTGCACAGCAGGAGGTGAGCAGCAGGCAGGAGAGCATTACCACTTGAGCTCTGCCTCTTTTGAGATCAGCAGCAGCATTCGATTCCCATTGGAGTGCAAACCCTATTGTGAGCTGCGCATGTGAGGGATCTAGGTTGCGCGCTGCTTATGTGAATCCAATGCCTGATGATACATACATACATTTGTACATATGCGTTTATATATTTATCTGTATATGTATCCATATGTATATGCAATATATATGTGTGTGTGTACGTATTCAAGTTATAGTATAAAATCATTAGAACCACTTTGCTCCCTATTTTTAATTATGCCCAAATAGTATTAGTGATAGAAGTATAAAAATTACTTCTTTATTTTGACCAAGAATAAGAAAAGAATGGTTTCTTTATTTTTCCAATAGATCTGCTTTTCTCCTGATATAAATGACACTCAAGAAATCACTCAGTCATCCACCTAGTTCATAAATAATCTAGAAGTTATACCTTATATTTATTTTTTCTTCACCCTCCATAACCAATATATAAGATGATATTATCTATGTTTTTGAATATCTACATATGTGAATTAGATCCACATATTAGGTCTGATTTCCCAGAAACAAACCCTGAGACAAGGGTTTGTGTGTAATTGATTGGTTGAAAATTTTGTTCCAGGTAAGAAATTGCAGGATTAATTGGAGTAATAGGACACGGATGGAAAAGAAGCCAAACAAAGGCATCAAAGTCCCAGCTTCATTACGATTCTCTAGGAAAGCTCTAGAATGTAAATAGTATGTTGGGTTTCATACTTCGGCACCTGTTACATACTGGCAATGGGATATTATAGATGTTTGTAAACTTGGAGGCACATTAGGCATCCTGTCCATGTGGGCAAAGTGGTTCCAGTAGCCAAGGGAACTTGTTCAAAGACAGTTGCAGGTGCAGACCATTATAAGCAAAGACATAGAAAAACTGTAGTGTATGTAGTGTGGGTGTGTGGCCACATTAAAGGATGAAAGGGAATCTGAGCAGCGTTTCAGTGTCTACTTCAAACCACTTCTCTATATGCCTTCATCATCTCATACTGGACTAGAGTAATAGACCCTAACTGATCTCTCTCTTAACCAAATCCCTTTCCTGCCCTCTAACCTATTTTCTAGTCTGTGCCAGATTGATCTTTTCTAAACATATGTTAAAATTTTCCAACTGCTTTCAATCGCACGGAAAATGAATGAGAATTTCTTACTGTAGTTTATAGATGCCTATGGGATCCTAGCACCTGCCTAAGTCTATTGCCCCATCTAATAAAACTAGATTGTTCCACTCAAAGGCCTACGTTCTACACAAAATGGGCATCATAGTTAGAACTGACCCCAGAAAATAAAGAATACCCTTTGATTTCTCTGGCAAGGCTTATAAGCAAGGTCAATGATCAAAACAAATTCTACCAGTGGGAAGAAACCAGGGTAAACAGTGTGGTCAACGAAGGAATTTGTTGTACCACAATGAGATGACAGTTATCCTTGAGATTCTCTGACTGTTCATTTTCCACTACAGCATCATTGAGCTACAAAACAGTGTATTCTGGGTCAGTGACCACTAGGTGTTACTCTTCCATTACACATTTTTCTAAGCATTATTTAACATTGTAAATTTCTGATATCTAATTCAGGGTTTTATATTGGCTGTGGTCAAATTTACCAATTATTCCATAGTTTACAGGATTACAAATAGCCACATAAAGGCTGATGATAATAACCATAACCTGAGATTTTGGCATTGAAAAATGGTGTAATTTTGGATTATTGTAATTCTGGAGTTTAATCATATGTATGTATTAAGAGCAGCATATATTTGTAACCATATGTTTGTATTAAGAGCTAAGAGTGACCAATTTTTAAAATAATAGATATGGAAATTAAGGTACATAGATGTGTTGGACAGAATCTGTAGCTCTGGACCATAGCAAGAATCTATAATACCACCTCTCACTTACCATTCTCCTTTCTGCTGAGTTGGACCTATATCTCTATGCCTATAGTAGGGGCAACCATGCTTGATGATGACAATGATAATGATGATGCTTGTGATGATCATGATGATAATGCTAATATGCTGAGTTGTGTGCTAGCACTGTGCTAACTCTTCTACAGGTATTGTCTTATATTAAAAATGGTGTTTAAGACTGTGTATCTGAAACCTGGTTCTAATACTTATTACCTGTATGATTTTTGTCATGCTACTTAAATTTATCATGCCTCAGATTTGCTATCTTCAAAATAAAATAAGTCATTGTAATGTACAAGACTATTACTTTGTATTGATAAAAGTTTAAAATACAATTAACAACACCACCTTGTGGATCGGTACCAATTAAGACCAAGTGATATAGGTCGGTATTCGAAAATATCACAGATACTAAGGCAAAAATCCAAGCTAGATCCTTATATTTGACCTTTATACCTTGTTATTCCCATTACTGAATTCACAGATGCTTGGTCCAACACTGGGTTTCTGGCTTAAATCAGGTAAATGGGAGCCCATTCCCAGGATTTTTAAAACTCCAATTAGAAAAGACTATCAGTTGCTTTCTGAAATTGAAGATTTCAAATCTGAGTTCAGGAGATATTATCACTCACACAATTTATTCAGGTTGAGGAGGTTTAGTCAGGGTGAGAGATAAAATGAGAGAGAGAGAGAGAGAGAGAGAGAGAGAGAGAGACAGAGAAGAGCAAAAGAATATAATACTCAAGCCCCTAATTCTAATTTTCATAATAAGGAAATGCCCAAGTGCTTCTTTGCTCCTTTTATTATTTTCTTTTCAACACTTAATTTGATTTTATAACCCAATGACATTTTTGCCTACTAGTTTGAGATTAGTTTCCATTGCTTAATAGATCATAGCCATTGTCATCTTACATCTTCTAAATTAAATATCATACAAATTAAAACCAATTTGATGACAAATAAAACTAATTCTGAAATATCAAATGAACTATGACCCTCATACAAGAATAATCAACTTATTATATTAACAGGGAGATATTATTTCAAAATTCTGGATCAGATTATTCTATAGATAACATGCGTTATCTAATTTTGCAATACCAACTTTGTATGCTATTTTTTTCTTATTATTTAGGAAAATAAATTTGTTCTTAATTACCATGTAAAATGTTTTTATTTAGAGCATGTACTCCGCAGTCTCAAATAAATTTGAGTGTCCTACTAGATTAATTGTTGGAAAAATAGTTATTGATTGGAAAAGATCGACATGGTGCTAAATATTGCAAGACACAATCCTGAGTATATTAGGTACCATATAATTTGCCTTGAGGCAACATTTCAACCTGATGGAGGAGAAGGATTATAAAGAGGAAGATAGGGAGCAGGGTAGAAAAACCGTTTACTAAAAATGATGGATTATGGGAAGTTCTCTTTAAAATATGTAATTTCATATATGTATGTATATGCTAATAAACATTCTACTTTTATTAGTCTTAAGGACTATGGGACATTTGCTGTGATAATTTGCATACTGTAGAGCTTATTTTTCAAAATATTTAGTGTTTTAAATTACAAAAATATTAATACGTATCTGATTGTTTTATAGTAATCTTAAATTAGCTGCTAAATTCCTGCTTAGTCTACTTGAGCTATGTATGTCTTTCCACTTATCTATGTGATAAATGAGTTTTTCATGACCGTTCACTGATGTAGAAATATAATGTACATATAGTACATAAGAAAATTTAAATAATGTCTGGAATAAGTTTTTCGGTATACACGTTCTGGGAAAGTGAAACTCAAGCTAATACAGTCATTTTTTTTTCTCCTTACTCTCTAGGAAAAACAAACAATACATTGAATTTGACAACCAGCTGAAGTTGCAGATAATGAGGACTTACCATTGTATACCATTACTCATCTGGACCTATATGTTCCATACAGTTGATACCATCCTATTACAAGAAAAACCTAACAGTTATTTATCAAGCAAAAAGATAGTGGGTCTGACAAAAGATGATGGCAAAATGCTACGTCGCACCAAGCGTGGCTGGATGTGGAATCAGTTCTTCTTATTGGAAGAGTACACAGGTACTGACACACAATATGTAGGCAAGGTAAGAATTTTTGTATGAGAAATCTAAAAGCTGAAAGTGACAGCTATTTATTTTTTACAGTAAGTTTTCACATCACTAGTGATTATTAAAAATATTTAACTAATTATGTTCAGAAGGTGTGATATTGCAAATTATTTTAGTGGGGAAGAACAAGGGACCATATTTGGATTCTAAATGTAAATCAATTATCAATAATAAGCATAAACTACTAAGTCATATGTGGATGGATGTGATTCATTATTAATCAGCTAGATATTATTTAATCATATGTGTATTATCTAAATAAAACTCTCCTTGAAATCTGTTGATAAATAGTTTATCATAATTAGGAATAGTATACTCTGCATGAGAAATAAAGTAATTCCAGATGTTTCTATTTCTTAATATCAGCTAGGGTGAGCTTCCTGCTTGTAATCTAGACGTAAGTGTTTAAGGCAGAAGGATAAAGACAAGATTAAAAAAGGAGAAAGAAGACACTATCTTTAAGAAGATATGCTTCTGTGTTAGCAGAAGCAAAGTTGCTCATTAGCAATAAGAAGCACACAATAATAGAGAATATGTAACTCCCTTCTTGTGTTCAATTTAGAGGAAGCAGATTCATTGCCTCTCTTTCATTGGTGTTTAGAGACTTCTTTTTCTTTAGCTCATTATCTCTCTAATTTTCTTTCTTTAGTGGCATGACCTTTCTGACATCCATAATTTTCTATATATCTATCATCCTTTTCCTTACCAATCACATTCATACTATTATAAACTCAGGACAATTCTTTTGTTAAGTATAATTATTCCCAATTTACACCTGTTGCTGAAGTATGTTAAAATTTTTACAACAAAACAGTTTTAAATGCTAGCAGTCTACAGATCATAATTTTTTTTTTTGAGTCATGTCATATATGTACTTGGAGGGACTGTAATGATTTGCGTATTGTTTGACTCACTGACACCACCAGACACATAAATTAGAGCAGGCTAAAAATGAAAAAAAAAAAAAAAAAAAAAAAAAAAGAAAGAAAAACACCCAAGTACCTAATATCACAAATGTCATTCTTGTACCTTTTAAAACAGAAATACATTTGCTCTGTGAAATTGCCAAAATTTTGATCTAATTCCTCCTTGCGTGTGTGGGCCAATCAAATGCAGCCTCCTTTATCAGAAGCCTATTATTTCCTCTTCTTTTGAAATTTATCTTTTCTGATTCCATAGGTCATGCTCATTCCACCCCATTCAGTTCGCTTGCTGGTTCCTTTTTGCCTGTTATTTCTTCTCAGGTTGGTCATATGGCATCCTCAGGCATCCCTCATTTAACAACACTTTTCACACTACAGTTAATAACTAACATCAGGAAATTCAAGTTCAGCAAGCAAATGTTTTTTGTCTAAGGACGTGAAATTGCCTTATGATTCTCCAAGGAAGTGTATAAAGGACACATTGAGGTCACAGGGCCTTACAGAAACAGTTTTATCCTTGGAGATTCACAAATACAGAAGAATAGCCACAGATAAAAGAGATGCTCATAATCTTAAGGCAGTTAAGGCTCTACAGCAAGCATTTATTTTAAGCTGAAAACAAAAATACTTCCCCTAAAAATTGAGTGTACATTAATTAATTTCTAAATTGACCACCATTCCTGCTCTCACATTTTAAATATACATTACGGTTTAAAATTTTGTGCACAATCATGCTTCCTTTTTAATTAATTCTATAATCTGTCATAAACAATTATGAAATATCCATGCATAGTTTTGTTTAATTACTTTTCATAATTTTTTTTTTCATTTGTGTTGGAAAAATGGCATTTTGGATTTAGGCATGGACAAGTTAGGGTGTGTGATTTTTTTGCCAATTTATTCTTGACAACGAGGTTATGAACCACAAATGGAACACTCATTATAATATGAGATGTTTGGAGAAAATAAACACAATGAAACCAAAACCACCTGTCAACTATTTCTGTGTTTCCAATGGGTAATATGTATATGAAATAGACACCTCAGCAAAATAAAATACTTTTATTACTTTTTAAAGAAAAAATAAAACTCTTTCTGTTTTTTTAATAGGGACTTATCTAGGATATGCCATTACCACATAGCTAGTTCATTATAAAAGTGGGCTGGATTTCAACCACATCTTAGCTTTTACTAAGTTATTAAGGGCATTTACTCTCATTATCTTGCTTTTCTGGCTTTTGACATCACTATTTATTTGCATATACAGTGGCTGACTGGACCCTTAACTCTAAACTTAGTCAAACATATGAATTCTGATAAGGACTTAACTTCTTGAGCACCTCGCAGATTGTCTTTTTGACCACAATATTTCTGGTGTCCCCGGGTAGACCTCAATCTAGTCTTCCAGGATCCACTGCATTGGTAGCACATCCCGTAAAGAAAAGGCCTGTCGTATTCACCCTGCGCCAGGATTGGGAAGGGCTAAGTAGCTTCTAATGGGAAGAAATCTCCATGGTTTCTTTATAGTTTTATGGAAGCTAGGTATCATAGAAAATATTAATTTACAAGTGCTGTAAAATTGCATAAAATTGGGAAGACATATTTTTAGAGGTTAAAAACTGGGTTTGATCCTGAATTGAGAGAAAGCAGTTTTAGAAAAATACAGTAGTGCAGCAAAATTTAATAAATTATATACATGTATACACACAAACATGCAACTTACAAGATTTAGTCTTAATTGTGGCACACAGTAACTATTGTAATTTAGAAGTTGTTTAAACTTGCCAACCGTCAGATTCTTGTTGGGTTAATTTACATTGTCATTAAGATTTCTTTAATTCCAAATTTCTGGTCTTTTCTAAGATTTTGGAGAGGGCTGTCATTAGGGACAAAAAGAGCCAGAAAGATTTTTGTAAATATGTGCATCTGGACAAATCTAAGAGGGTGGAATTGCATGTATATAGCACAATAAAGAAAAAAAGAGGCTAGTCTAATAGTATAAAGTTAGACCTTCACTGTGAAAGGTCCAGAATTCTAGGATGGGTTTTTTTTTACATATAGCATGAAATGTAAATAATCTGTTAAAAGCCTTTGTACAAATCAGTTATGAGGGGAGCACAGAACTGAAATAATCAGTTTTCTTTCATTGTTCAGGATGGATTAGAAGAGTAAGAAAATGAAGTAAGATAATTTTAATAAGGCAATACTGCAGAATTGTTATAGCATTTTAGACATTTGAAATATAGGACAAAAAAGTCAGAAATGTTGGAATATATAGCAAGTTTTCGTTTTTTGCAATAATGCAATTTGATATTTGGTTGATCATTCTTGACTGAAACTATCAGAAATTTACTAATATTGTTTTATATAATAAGGAAAACTTTGTATCATTACCCAAGAAGAAAACAAAGTCATAATAATTGTCATCTAGCTTCTCTATAACTTGAATAGGCACGTGTGACTGAATTATTTAGGTAGAATCTTAATACTGCTCAAGAGAGAAATTAAAATAACAAGAAGCATAGCAAATGTCCCTACTATTCTTTTAGAGAATCTTTGTAGCACTTTAGTTTGTTATACATAAGTTGAAAGTCCAGAATAATCCCTGCTTATCATGGATCAATAATCATTAACTACATCCCAATTAGTATTGAGAATTGAATAGATCGCTTCTCGGCCTTTTGGCTAAGATCAAGTGAGAATTGAATAGAATTTACCTATTTGATTTTAATATCTAGTTGTTAAATCACATTTATTTTATGAAGAGAAACCCAATACTCAGACACACCAGACATAGTATTTATTTTTTAAAAGGAATAAAACAGTGGTTATTTTTCACAATTGTGAAGATTCATTTAATAAATTGGAATGTCAACTTAATTGACCATTACATTTTAATTTAAAAATATGTATTTAGCACTTGCTTTGTGCAGAGCAAGGAACATGGAGCTACGGAGCCACCTGTAGGTAGCCACTATTAAATAAGGTACCTTTGTCGCAGAGTTACCTCTGAAGTCTTTATAATTTTAATTTAGAAACTTTTGTTATCCCATTCTGAAATCATGAGTGTAATAATAGAATCTAGAGTGGAAAGGGATTTTAACATAGATTGAACTCTGTCTTCATGGTTACAATTGGTTTATATGTTACCTAAAGCAACGGGAAACACAATTAACAAAAGAAAAATTGGTAGGAGTCTGTTTTATATTTGATGGTGTATCAAAAGGTGGAGTGACACTCTTTCACATTTACTGGTTTGTACACTAAATATTAATATATAGCTGAAGTATATATAAAATAATGGACTTGAATAGGTTATTTTTTCTTATGCTTTTCAGGGATGGCAGTTTGAGGTGTACAAGTAACTGATGGAATAGAAACTAGAAACAGAAATAAACTCTCAAATTTATTTAAAGAGTTTTGATGAGTTGTTATAGTATATCACAGTGTTTTCCAGAATCTAAGTAAAATATGTTGATGAAAGTTTGTAAGTATCATTACTTATGGTGCAGTACATGGAGCAGTTGCTTTTGATTTGTAAATACATTATATTCCAAAATTATCTTTATGCATTAGTTGTTTATAACTCAGAACACACAAAAAATTAAAAATTATGACAAGACTTTAAGGACAGCATACTGAGGCATGTTTAGCCCTGAGTTCTATAAAAATCCACTGTTAACATACAGCTCCATCTTTTAATTTTCACTGCCAATACTTTATAATCACTTTGCTGGACAACTGCTTTAGCACACTAAACTTATCTTTTTCTTGACTTTATTTATACTTTTTTTTTTTAATGATCAGAAGCAGTTTACACAATATCTCTTGAATAATCCCAATCTCTAGCACAAAAATACCTCTAAAAAATTAACTGAAATTCACTTAGGTTGAATTCAAAGTGTCCATTAGTATTCTTGCAAATTCCAGCCTATGTTCTATCTCCCCATAACTTTGTAACCTGAGTTCTAGACAACATGATATTTCTTCTTCCATACACCTGACTTTTTTTCATCATGTCCACAGACCCCTTCCCAGGGTGTATCTTACCCA